AAACCGACACAAAACGCTGTAGTATACATGCCAGACCAGTAAGTGGCGGTGTAATTCTGCCACAGAGATACACTAAAAACGGAGAAGAAGACTTGGTGGACTATGCGCATAAACCTTGCGCGCGGTATACAAACGAACATGGAACAATACATTTATTAATCTGTGTTAATGTTAGTTAATAAAAAGACAATCGTTCAGTGTTTGTTCATGTTTTTGTTGCTGTTAAGTGACGTAGTTGTGTCTGACTAGGGGCGAGATGTGGGCTGATGACGTCATCGTTTCAGAAAATATACGGATTCGCTGTCCACAGGAAAACGCAAGGGCGGCGTTTTCAGATTTATCCACTCTGAGACGTGGTTTCAAAAAATATCGGTTTCACTCTCCCAAAACGCCGGATCCGTGTGGACGAAATGCCTATACGATACAAAATGTATGCGTATACAGCTAAATGCGTCTTCGTGTGGACGGGGCCTTAGTGATGAGATGCACTGAATTTCATGTTAAAGTTGACATCACACAGAAGCTGGAAGCAACTTTACTACCGTATTTCTGAGTGAAACAAGAAATTCGCTTCACGTACGAAACCAGTCGGCATCCAAACAAGTGGACACATGTTCTGTGTGATTGGTTGAGGAAGGTGTAAGAACAGAAACTCACCCGTGGGAAAATAGCTGCCAGCGAACAGACAGTAAGAATGAGAAGCAAGACTTCACCTACAGCCAGAGTCACATAGTTTGCAACCAACCTGTGCGGAGCAAAAATACATAGACAGGGGAAAATGAGCATTGGCCATTCCTACCCTGATGCTTTTCAAACACATACTGTACATATTGATTTAAATAAGGTAGAAACAGCTCTCTAAAGTAACAATTGCTGGTTATTGCTTTTTGCAGTACAGATAAACTGATATTAGATCATATAAAAAAGGTGCAGAATTTTCCGATTAGTCCGATATTTTCAGAAAATTCAGGGTGGGAGGAAAAAACTATTTTTACAATTTTTTGCGTTTCCTCGAGAAGCTTTGCGTTTCCTTGCAAAACTTTTGCAACGCGCTAATGCACGTCAAGTTTTTTTTTCCCCATAGAAAACCGTTATGGAAAAAGCTTAAGGTAGGCTAATGAACGCAGGCAGTGATATAAAAGACCAAATCTGGTATACTGTTTATTAATAAAATATAGTACGCACAGGAAAACAGATGAGCCCAGAATATTAACGGAACGTGCAAAGTGTCATGTGTTTTCTCCCCCGTACAAAAACAAAGAAAACTCTTAACGTGGCTTAATGGATTTGGATTAGCACGATGCTTGCCTGTATATATTTTTAATTTGGGCTATATCACTGTCATCTTATATTAAACCAAGCGTGGTTTTCTATGGGGAAGAAAATGCTTCTCATGCAATTCAGCTCATATTTTGGGCTCATCTGCTTGCATATGTACACAGTATATATTTTTAATAATCTGTATAGCATATTTGGTCTTTTTTTATCACCGTCTTCATTGAGCTGTGTTTCTTCAATGGCTTCTATGAGAGGAAAACGCTTAATGTGCAATTTAGCACTTTCTGTTAATATTCTGGGCTTATCTACTTTCCTGTAGGCTATGTAGTATATATTATTAATAAACTATAAATCCGTGCCTTGAACTAAGCACTGACTGCATTTCTTTAGGCTGTATGAACCACTGCAAGCTGTAAAGTAAACAGGAAGTGTTTGTCCGAACTCAACTGGTTTTGCGAGAGAACACAAAGGTTTTGCAAGAGAACGCAAAAGATTAAAAAAAAAAAAAATGTCCTTCCACCCCATATTTTTTCCAACAGCATGTCCCTTTAAGGGCTCCGTAGCTGCATGCAAAAACATACAGCATGATCAGTGTAGTCCGATTCATGAATACATTACTCTTTTAAACCATTTATCAAAGCCGTTTAAAGTTTACTTAAGTTGGCATCCAAAAGGTTATTTTGTTGTGCTGATTATTTCATCAGTTAAATAGTCTTAGTTTGGTCCCAGTTGTTATTTTTTTTATTAATATTTTTGTAATGTACAATTAAAGTAATTATAGAATTACATATAAAGATGTACTTAAGTCCTACATAAGGGAGTCAAAAAAGTAATTGAATTTAATCAACACTTTTAACTAGAACATCCAATTAAATGTTCAAGAACATTACATTCAGTTCACACTTACAGTACGTAAGTATATTATTTCCATAAGTACTCTTTTTAAAGTTTGCTGAAGTGTACTTGTTTTTCCACAAGGGTCTGCACAGATGAATCGATATCAAATCTAAATCGGGAAACTTGTACAGATCCCAGCCTTGAATGAAGGTGGATATTTCAAAGCCAGAGACAAAGGGAAACGCCAAATAGCAACAGGACCTTATTTTTAGACCAACAAACAGATGCTATAATAACTGTAAACAGATTATGACGGGCCTCCGTTGACCTTTGGCTGCTAAAATAGGGGGCTGGGCTGAGGCTGATGGTGTTTGTGTGGTGATGTGTTAATAGTTAACTGACCAGGGGTCAATGAGAGCCTCCATGACGGCGGTGAAGAGCAGCACCACACAAGAGCAGCTGAACGCCGCTCCGCTCTGCTTCTCCTTCTCCACCGAGAAGCGCGTCTCCAGCTCCGGATCAGTAAAGCGCAGAGACAGACGATTAGTGTGCTTCCCTTTCAGCCTGAAAACACACACACACACACACACACACAAACACTGTGAAAAATGAAGTACTAGCAGATAATATAATATTAATGAAATAAAAGGCCACTTAAGTATACTTAAAGAGAGACACTTTGATGCCTGTGTTTCTTAACACACTTAAGTACACTTTTAAAGAGTGCACTTTATAACAATATCATATTGAAAGTTTTATTTAAAGTACAGTTGAAATCATCATGTTTTAATAGTCATTTGTCGTGTTTTAAAGAAGTGCACTTATTTTGATGTGCTGACTAACAGATGCCTATTAAGTGTCTAAAAACAATACATTCAGTTCATGCTTATGTAAGTTCTTTTGAAGAATGTTATTTTCATAATAAGTACACTACATACGCCTGTACTGTCTCTCGCTCCAGCAGCGCTTCATTGAGGAGTTTGTTGAGCTCCTGTTCGTTCTCCTGAGCGTCGATCACTCTCTCAGCCAGATCACGCAGACGCAAACGACGCCGAGGGTTTGGAAACGAGGGGTTCACCACCTACGACCAAACACATGCACAATCACATGCTGTCTGTTCTCTGTGATCAGCAAGCTTATATATCCAAAAAAAACATTAGCATCCACAACACATAATAGTTTACATATTTGGCACAAATTTTCAACAAATTTAACTATGATACAATGCATTGATGGATCTCTTCACACTAACTGTGAAAAGTTCACACACTGAAGGATATTTCTGACCAATAAGAATGACAATTTTTTTTGTCTGGTACCATCATGCTAATATATAAACATACTGAAATATACTGTTTGAAGGGCCATGTTGATACCTTAAGACCAATAAGTCAACTCCTTGTTCAGGCGAGTCAGCAACTAGTTAATTATAGGGAAATACAGGAATAATATAAAATAAATTTTTTTCCCCCTCTGATTCGCTAATAAATGCTCTAGATTTCAGAAGAAAAATTCAACTTGTTCATTATAGCTATAACTGATCTCTGATCTCTTGTCAGGTGTTCTCCAAACTCATCAGGCATTATAGGAGAAAACTCAGAGCTGTTATCTTGGGAAAAGGACGTTGCAATAATTGTGGCCAACATGAACTAGAGAAAGCATTTAAATATAAGTGGCATATACAATTTGCACATAGCATTATTATTAGTAACAGAACTTTTGTTCATTTATGCATTTTTTCAGGGACTGAGGTGAAAACCTTTGCCATTTTAATCCGTAATTAAGTAAAGAACTTCTTAAGTTAACAGATTCCACTGGCTTTAGCAGAGTTGCACATGTCAGTGTGTGAGATCATCATGTCATTACCCGCGTGTCCAGCTCCTCCGGCTCCTCCGGTGTGGTACAGGCCGTGTGGACGCTCCCATTGCACTCCGTAGTGTTGATCAGCAATGGAGAATTCCCATTAGACGACGTCACCGAAAGCTTCTGGAGGAAACCACCGGCGAGAGCGTGAGAATGAGAGAGACACAGAGAAACCGAAACGACAGTAACAGAAATGACACTCACTACCCCGTTGATGCCGTTTTTACCCACGGGTCCCTTGGGCACCACCACCAAGTACGTCTCAATGCCCCTTTCCTTCAGGTACTCGCAGCGGTCTCCTCCGTTCCCCGGCTCCACGTCAAACTCTCCATGCAGACACTCCAGGGTATTCTGGGAGATGTGCACTCGCCTACCAGACAAAGGTTTACACAATACACAATATTGTGTAATTACACAATACTTGCAGACAATGTTGCTGTTTCACTGTTAAAGACTACAGGGCAAATTCATTAACCGGTTTTAGGATCCATAGCTGAACTTTTTTTGACTCACTTAAGTAGGACTTAAGTGCATCTTTATATGTAATCTCATAATTACTTCTATTGTCTATTGAAATATGGTTAAAGTGAGCTGCTGAATGTACTGACAAGCATTTATGATAAACGAAAATATACTTTAATGTCATTTCTATTGAAACGTATATGTCATGTATTTAAATGTTTGCAATTGCACATTTGTAAAGAAGTTGTAATTTAGTACATCTACAACATATTAACCTTAAACGTAATATCAAATAACACACTAATTATAATCAAGTACTTTGCATGTGCTTTAGTATGCTAGTCAAAAACAAACAAGAAAAGAAAAAAAAAAAATTTTCAGTAAGGGAATGAAACTTAGTAAATGCTCTAAGACCCAGAAAATAAACATTATTATTATTATTATTATTATTATTATTTCAGTTTTTTCTATTATTTTTTAAGATGCATCATTTTTAAAAACGTTGCATCTTTTTATAAACATGAATTTGTATAGCTCTTGACGAACCACTGCAGCATGAAAAATTTATCACTTTTTTCATCTGAAAGTGAAAGTTTATGTAAGTAAAATAAATTTATTTTGTTTGAAAACTTTATAGAGTAATATTTATGTTGTTTTGATGTTGCTTTGTTAGAAATACGTATGTAGGTTTCATAAATTTGGACTGTTTTTGAGCAATCGTGAGTTATAAATTCAAAGGAATTTAATTAAATTCCATTCATTCCAACGAGGTTCATACTGGTAATTCACAGATTATATGTTATTATAAATTTAATACAATGGTATATTTTATTTATTTTTTTATTTTTTTCTTAATAGTTGCATCAATCGATTTTCTGGTATGCTTTAATTTAAAAAAATCATTAAAAATGTATTCTGGTATCTTTAATTGAAAAAAGCAAATGTTTCACAATCACTCATTAATTAGAAGATGTTGATCAGATACAATATGGTTTTAATAGTTGCATCAATAGATTTTCTGGTATGCTTTAATTACAAATTCATTAAAAATGTATGCTGGCATCTTTAAATAAAAAAGTAAATCTTGCTTCACAATCACTCATTAATCAGAAGATGCTGATCACATACAAAATGGTTTTAGTTGAAAAACTATTATGACCCAAAACGTGAAAATAATATACAAATTTTGAATGCATTATGAGGGTTAAGTGTGTTAAGAATTCTAGTCATAAAAAGTACACTTAAGTGGCCTTTAATTTCTTTAATATTATATTATCTACAAGTACAGTAAAAAAACTTTTAAGATCTTAAGTTCACTACAAGTGGATATTCAGTACAATTAAGCAATTAAGGGTGGGTCTCATTCTAATTGAGTCTTACTAATGATTATGACAGATAAGAGTCTAATAATCAAAACATATATCCAGATGTTTCCGTCCACGAGTCTCATCCATGACTGCAGCGCTCCTGTATTCAGGCGTAGTTCATTTAGGGAGGAGTGAAGTTTATATATGACCTTAACATCCAGACACATTTACACTCGTCTGAGTCACTCGTCTGTCTTGACAGCATCTCATAAGGCATTCACATTCAAATGGATAGCTAGTGAACGTCTAGTGAATTTCCCCTAGCATTCAGAACCAAACTAAACCCTTTATCACTGGTGAATGTGCAGGTTTTTACCCTGGTATTCCTCCTGCCTCCATCTTGTTAGCCACCGTCACGTCAGTCGACCACACGTCATACTGCCAGCGCTTCTGTCCGAGCACGCCTCCCAAAACCGTCCCAGAATGCACCCCGACACGCATGTCCACGTCCGTCTGCGTCTTCTCTCGAACGTATCTGAAATCCAGATGAATGTGTCAGACCTCGTCATACTCAAGCACGCCCAACTCGAGCTATTTAAAAGTCATTGTCATGAAGCAGTCACTAATTCCCAAGCACACTCCTGAACAGTTCAGCATGCATCACTCACGAAATGGCCTCAACCATGGCTAAACCCATCATGATGGAGCAGGCCGCATGGTCATCCCGGTAATCTGGAAGGCCACAAATACAGTAATAGCAGTCGCCCAGAATCTTGATCCTCAACTGGTGGTATTTCTGAAAGTAGAACATCTTAGTCAGCTTCAGACTTCACCAGTAATTAATTGAGCATCAATTGAGAGCAACAAAGTGCGTCCACTTTTTCAGCCGCCTTGGTTTTGGGAATACTTAATTTTTTCTTCACTTACTTTATTTATTCTTCAAAGGGAATTGAAAAAATTCTACATGAACAAATTATAAAGTAACCAAACCAACCAGATCCAAGAACAGTCAAAACATTACAATGTTTGATTTGGAAAAGCTGGTTTTTAAAAAAAAATGCAAAACCTAGGTACTGTGTGCTAAATGTCTTTTATACACTGCAAAACAAACAAACAAATAAATAATTGGTGTACAAACAATTTTCACTTAGGAATTGCTAGTAAATTTCACAAACAATTACAAAGAAAAGGCAAGTAACACATTGAATTAAACTTGAAATTTTGAAGTAAAAACCAGAAATTGTATTTTCTTAAAACATAAAATGTACTTGAATAATCTGTTTTATTTACAACTTCAAAAAAAAATATTTTTCCTGTGTATGAGGGAATAAGGGTGTACTTGGGCGATTTGAACCGTGCCCAAACGAACAGCTACTATTTTGTGTGCGCTACTGTCATCATTACGACCGCAAACATATTCTATTACTACTACACTACACTTTTCAACTAATTAAATTAAATCAAGTATGTTTAGGCTTGTATCGGGTCTGGTTCTCCCCTTACGTGTCTGACAATAAAAGAAAGCGTTACTGTATTCTAATTACTTTTCCTGATAACGCAGTAATGTAATGCGTTAGAGTTTAAATTTATGTAATTTGTTTACAGCTACTAATGTCATTAAAATTATGTCACTTAAGTTACAAATGCAGTGTTAAGAAAAAATATGAAGTAAAATGCATTTTAATATCATGTTTGCGCATCAGTATGCCCTTTAATAAATAACTGGAGAATGCAAGCTAAAATGCAGACGAGTTATACATCTTTAAGTCTGGCATTATAGTTTGGGAAAAGTTCAACTAGTAAATGTGTAAGTTTATGTCACAATAACACTAATAAATAGCTTAAATAAAAATAAATGACTCATCAGAATGAGATCCTCCACTGGATTAAGCTGAGCGTCACATCGCATTTTTCTTCTTCTGAGGTAAATACAAGGCTTATTCCTCACAGCGCGAGGAAAACATTACTCTATATATTACGCTACATTCCTCAAGTAGCCTAGATGAACTTGATTAATCTTAACGCTTTGTTTACAGAGGTGATGTGTTCGTTTATATGTTCGCGCATCTCAAGTGGATGATTATCATATATAGCGCAATGCGCATGAGTGTGACCACATTATAGATGAGCTCAGGCGGGAAAGACTGTACCTCGCGGTGGATTATTTTATCAGAGAATATTTGTTTTCGGCATGACTTACTTAATTTAAAAATAGACACTTCAAGCTTTCTTTAGATATATTTCTCACGTCTGTGTGTCATTCAGTTTTCGTTCATTTCGTTCATTCGCGGAGACTGACTGCTGAAAGCGCACCCTATCTGTTTTTTTTATTTTACAAAATCGCAATGTTTTGTTGATATTGCGTGTACATACAAATAAAAGTAGACGTTTTACAGTTTCGAATGATGCAGTACTCTTATCTGTATTATCAAAAATGACGAAACATTTGAAGTTCTTTTCACTGTTATCATGAAAAAATGCAAGTGATCGTTCAAGTTGCCGTTTAAATAATTGTGTGACGAGAGGGGCGGGGTCGAGAGCCGTGGGAACGGAGCGAGGCCGGTGGAGGAAATGTTAATGCGCAACACCTGCGCTACTCACCGGTCTCGAGTCCCACGGAGGAGCTCCGGAAGGATAAAAGGAGTAGTGACGACAGTGTTGGACGAGAGAGGACCAGGCCTGGACTTTATTTTGTGTTTTGTGTGCGGCAGTCGTCCGTGAGGGGCTGCCGCTTTACTTTCTTTTTGTGTTTGTTTATTTTATTAAAATCTTAAATGTTTGCCGGTTCCCGCCTCCTTCTTCCCGACCTACGAACTTTGTTACAAATTGTAATTTTGTATTCAATATTAAAATGCTGAAAGAACTATGAATTTCACTTTGTAGTGTATTTTGTAGGTTTGACAACTTGAAAAGTAATATAAACTTGAAAGTAATTTGAAAGTAAACTAATTAGTAATCTGATTACTTTTTAAATGCAGTCATCAGTAATGTAATCAAATTACAATTTTAAAGAAGTAATTAGTAATTTGTAGTGGATTACTTTTTTTGAGTAACTTACCCAACACTATACATGACGTAAGCGTAAACTATGCCTAAGTTACTCATCCCATGAAGCACTGTGAATTATGTAATTAAATATATATACAACTATACAATTTAATAAAAATATATACAATTATAGATATAAATTATAAAGTTGGGGTTGGTAATGTTTTGAAATGTTTTTGAAATATGTCTCTTCTGCTCACCAAGGCTGCATTTATTTGATTAAATACAGTAATATTGTGAAATATTATTACAATTTAAAGTAAATGTTTTCTATTGTAATACATGTTAAAATGTAATTTATTTTTTTGTGAGTCAAAGCTGAATTTTCAGCATCATTACTCCAGTCTTCAGTGTCACATGATCTTCAGAAATCATTCTAATATGCTGATTTGCTGCTCAACAAACATTTCTGATTATTATCAATGCTGAAAACAGTTGTGCTGTTTCATATTTTTGTGAAAATCATGATTCAGTATCATATTTTTCAGGATTCTTTGATGAATACAAAGTTCAAAAGAACAGCATTTATTTGAAGTAGAAATCTTTTGTGACATTATAAATGCCTTTCCTGTAACTTTTAATCAATTTAATGCATCCTTGATGAATAAAAGTATTAATGTATTTTCAAAGTGAGACTTGACTATGTCATTCATAATGTTTTATCTTTTCACGGTTTAATTTGGATTTTAACATTTGTTGGAAAGAAGCTGAAATCATGCTGATCCATACACTGTAGTAAAAAACGGAGAAAATTAATGTGATTTTTACTTTAAGTTCCACTGTTGCACTCTATATGAATAGCTTAAGATCATTAGTCACCAAAAACATTTTCATCAAGTAAAAATTACTAAACGTGTGTTAAATAAAGCTTGCATACAGATATCAGTAACTTACATCTGCTAGCTTGTCGAAACGGGCGAACAATTCGTTCAGCAGCTTCACCAGCTCCTGCGCGCTACAGAACGAGGACAGCTGAGTGAAGCCCACGATGTCTGCGAACAGAATGCTGCAACACAAACACAGTCAACGTCAAACAATCATCAAACGACGACATCAAGCTTTGCCCTCGTTTACTGAAACACTGCTGGTAATCGTAACACACTGACCTGACGTTCTCGTGCCGATACATGTACATGGTGTTGAACTGCTGCATCTCTTTCTGACTGGCTTCCTTCTTCATGTCCTGAAGCATCTCGTCTGCGATGTGCTTGGGTAAGATGGACAGCAGGAGACGCTCCTGTACGCAGGAACAAGCATTGATTATACACCCATATACTATCTGCATCTGCAGAATTTATGGATATAGTCACACAATTCTGCTATTAATATGAAAACACAATACTCTTAAATGAACACAAATTTTAAACCAATTTTACTGTGTTTAATTCCATTTTTAATCATGTTTAATTCCAAGAAAAAAAAATGCATTGCGTTTCATTTCATTTTTTTATCGTGTTTAATTCCAAGAAAAATACAAGAAATTAAAACAACAATAACAGAAAAAATAGGGCACAACATATCTGGTCCAAACAGGATTTGTAAAAAAGATTTTTTTTAGTGCTGTCAAACGATTAATTGCGATTAATCGCATCCGAAATAAAAGTTTTTACATAATGTATGAGTGTGTACTGTGTATATTTCTTATGTATATATAAATACCAGGTGTCGCGCATAAGCAATTACTGCACCGGCCTCGCTCCGTTCCCACGGCTTTCGGCCCCGCCCCTCTCGTCACACAATAATTTCCAAAAATGTTATATATAAAAAAAAACTAAAAAAAAATTTTTTTACAAATTCTGTAAAGACAATGAACAAAACAATTTTAAAAAGATATTCTAAAAAAAAACTGAAAGAAATTGAAAAAAAAAGATTTAAAAAAAATTATTTAAGATAAAACACATTAAATTGATCCTAAGTGACAGTAAAGACACTTACAATGTCACAACAAGATTTTTATTTCAAATAAATGCTGTTCTTTCTAAACTTTCATCAGAGAATCCTTGTTCACAGACTCCGAAGGCACGCTGGGAGAGGGATCTGCACCACGGCACTGCACCCCACGAGCACCACGCTGAGATGGGCACCGAGCACCATTCATCAGAGCACGTGTGATCAGTGTGTGGGCAAATAAATCACCCTCCGGGGCTCTTTCGATCAGTACCGAGTCTGTGTTCTCATTCACCCCGCGACAATATATTCAAACAGAAAAGAGCTATTTTAAATTGTAATATTTCACATTTTTAGAGTTTTTACTGTATTTTTGATCAAATAAATGCAGCCTTGGTGAGAATATGAGAAATCTTAACAAACTTTGATTTCTATCTATGCTAAAAGTTGTCAGCTTTTGGTATGACCTCTCAGCTAACAGACACTGACTATCATTTACTCGCTCAAAGAAACGGAAAAGCAAATGAACCTCTTGGGGAAAAAACGCACAAATATATGCAAATTTATTGGTCAAATATGTTCCCTGACGCATCAACGGCACTAATCATTAACTGATGCTCCAGATGGCGACCTGTTAACACAGCAGGCTCTTTCAGGCCCAAACACATTTCACACGTGAACACATCAAGCAGCTCCGCTTTGACCAGTGCGCCATCGACGTGATGCCACTCTGACACGACAAG